CCAAAAAAATTACCATCGTCTTCGAAAATATAACAAAATGAACATGTTGTTCGTTAAATTAACAAATTTATTTATTGGTATTTAACAAATATTATGTTTAATTATTTTATATAAATGTCTTTAAAAATCATATCATCACAATGATCTTTATATTTGATTTACATACGATTAAACTAAATAAAATTTTTGATTTAGAATTAATTTTAACTATTTTATGGTTAATTAATTTTAAAATTTTTATTTTGACATTTGTGGTCTCTCTGTAACGCTCATTTCAGGTATCTATTTCTTTTCAGAATTTTAGGGTTTTAGACTGGAACTCGACGAATTGGGGAGCTCCAACTCGTCGAGTAGAGATCATTGTGGGACGCGGGATTTAGGACCTACTCGACGAGTTGGAAGGCCCAACTCGACGAGTAGGCGTTATAAAGGAAAACCCTAAATTTTAGGGTTTGCACCCTATATAATCTCCTTAAAACCTTGAGGCTGACCTTCCATCAGCCTCCAAACCCTAAGAACGTTAGTGCTAAACCCTAATCCCCATTTTCTCTCATATTGTAAGCTAGACTGACTTTTGGAGCTTAGGAAGAAGAAGATAGTGCGAAGAAGGAGGAGATCCAACAAACAAAGCCCTCACTCTTGAGCTTGACCATCTTGTGGACTATTGTAAGCATTCAAGATTCGATTTTTATCTTAGAATATGACTAGATCTTGAGTTTACTCTTCATTTCCCATCATTCTTGTCGATTGCATGCATGGGGTTCATAAAGTTTGCAACTTTATGAATCTATAGGGCAAAATGGTACCATGGTGGGCTAGATCTAGCTTTTGGTCAAGCATGGATGCCATACATGGATTTTAGTGTATATTTTTCCTCTTTGGCCACTTTGAATTCAAGACATGCATTGGACATGCATGTCCATAAAGTCTTCATCTTTGGAACGTTTTGAGGATTAAAACCTCTTCTGGAAAGGAGGGATTCCAGATTCCTAGAGTCTTGAACCACATGGCTAAGCTTTTGAGCTTTCCAACCTTTGTTAAGGGCTTTAGAGCATTCAGAGTGGTTCTAGAGGATAAAGTTGAAAACTTTATCCTTCTAGACACCTTTAGATTTCAGATCTAAGCCTTAGAGCCCCTGCAATCAACGTATCATCGGAATAAGCAAACAGGGGGGAAACTCGACGAGTTTCCCTGGCAACACGACAAGTTGGATCAGGTTTCCCCGTCTACTGGATATTTAGTGAACTCGTCGAGTTGATGAGACAAATCGGCGAGTTGGCTAGGGTTTGTCTCGGTTTTCTGGACTCTGAAGGAACTCGACGAGTTGCTAGATGCACTCAACGAGTTGGGGTCAACATGGACTGTTGACCTTGACTGTTGACTTGGACTTTGACCAGGGTTGACCAAGTTTGACTTTGAGGGTATTTATGGTATTTCGGGATTTTGACAAGTTAATCACATGATGGTTATAGGCAGTTGAGTTGGAGCTAAGCGTTGGGAATTATCTGATCCTATCCTATCAGTTCAGCATTCTTGAGATGTGAGTCTCCTCACCATACCAATGGGTCGAAGGCACCAAGGCCGACCCATTTTATGATATGTGGTACACTAGTTGAAGTAGTGTTATGTGGCATGTTAGTTGGTTATATGCTAGGAGGTATGCTAGTTGTATATGTGGTATGCTTGTATGGAAGACCATGGGAGAGCCCATGACACCTGGATGTAAGACCATGTGGAGAGCCTATGGATTTCCTATTAAAGACCATGGGAGAGCCCATGACACTTAGATGTAAGACCATGTGGAGAGCCCATGGCTTTCCTATTAAAGACCATGGGGGGAGCCCATGACACTTAGGTGTAAGACCATGTGGGGAGCCCATGACATCTTGGAGTAAGACCCTGGGAGGAGCCGACGCCATCCCTATATGTTGTATGCATGGCTTATATGGTATTGTGTAGCTTTTATAGCTAATATGGGTTATGTGATTATGTGGTTTGTGTGGGGTATGCTCTGGGGAACTCACTAAGCATTAGCTTACAGTTTGTTGATTTGTTTCAGGTACTTCTGAGCCTAAGGGCAAAGGCAAGGCTTGATGGCGCGGCATGCACTCTCCGACATTTGATTTGATGGGATACTCTGATATTTGAAATAAAATTGTTGATGTTATGAATTTGAAAACAATTGTTCTTGAGATTTTTGGTTTATTGGAAATGTTTTGACTATTTAAAAATGAAAATTTTCTTTTGAAAATTGGGTCGTTACACTCTCTTTTGGTATTCTCGCTGTTTATGTAATAACTGACCAATAAAAATTGGATTGGTGTCCCCTTCACCGATTGTGTAAGCCAATAAGAGTTGGATTGCTGCCGATTCTTTTTTTTTTCGCAGGTATCCCTCCCCACCTCTGCCTCACACACACACATACACACACACACACACACACTTACCAGTCAAAATCTCCCTAACCCGTTGGGCACCTCAGCTGGCCATATAATGATCAAACTCTACTCCCAAAACCCAAATGTCTTTTCTCCTCAAAAGTCAAAAAGTGAGTCCTTTCTACACTTCCACCTTATCGTTTTACAGTTAACTTCTTTTTATTTTCACAAATAAAATAAACAAAAATCTTGAATTTTACTTTGCAGGTATGGTTCAATCTTTAAAACCCACATATTAGGCTGTCGTTGCATCATGATTTCAAGCCATGTGGTTGCTAAACTCGTGATTGTAACCAAATCTCATCTCTTTAAGCCCATATTTCGGCGAGTAAAGAAAGAATGATCGGAAAACAATCGATTTTATTTCATCAGGGTGATTATCATTTCAAGTTAAGACGACTTGTTCTTAGAGCATTCATATCAAAATCAATCAAACACATGGTTTCCGACATTGAATCCATAACCATCAATGCCCTCCAATCATGGAAAAACAGATTAATCAATACTTTTCAAGAAATGAAAACAGTAAGTAAAATATTCTCAAAACAGGGGATTGATAAATGACAATTTAACATCAACCAACACTCTGTTTTCTAATTGAAGTTTTCTTTTCATCTTCAGTTTACATTCAATGTCTCATTGCTTTCAATGTTGGGAAACCATGAAGTGCTCAACAGGGATGATCTCAAAAGAGGCTATTACATACTCGAAAAAGGGTATAGTTCAATGTGAATTAATCTTCCTAGAATATTGTTTCACAAATCAATGAAAGCTAGAAAGGAACTTGTAAAGATCATATCCAAAATTATACCGTGTTGAAGGGAAATGAAGGAACAACATAATGACTTGTTGGGTTCTTTCATGGAAGACAAAGAAGAACTCATCGACGAACATATCGTCGATAACATCATCAGGGTTAAAAGAACCAGCGAGGAGTTATACGTGAGTGGGACGAGTTTAACTATTCAGGACACACAATGGCGGAGTGGCGGAAAAAAGGTACAACGACATAGGCGATGACCTGAAAAAAAGATACGAAGAGTATATTCAAAAGTGAATAGAGTGAAAAGAGACAGTGGAGAGGAGAAAGAGGCGGCTTGGCCTGGCTTGTGTTCTCCAAGGTTGATGATTTGGGAGATTACGAATACACTGATGTTTATGGTCTACATCTTCTTCAACCACATGTACAACATTCAAAGTGTTGGGTACACATATATGTTTTTCCAGTTACAGGTTTTGGTTATTGTAATCAATATTGATCTTGCGTTTTATTTACCAGTTATGTTTGGACTGAAAGGTGGTTGAAGATAATTGTTGAAGATGGGAAGGGAGGGAGACGTTGACAAGAGGTAAAAAGGTGAGATGGATTTAATTTATTTATTTTAATTAAGTAAAAGCCATTTGTACATGAAACTGTACATGAAATGGATTTAATTTATTTATTTTGATTAAGTAAAATCCATTTGTACATGAAACTGACAATAGTAGGTGAGAAGGACTAAATAAGCAGGTGAAAACCAACATTGTTCTCTCAAAAGGCTCGAAAATAACTTAAGAGACTGAATGTGCAAATGTACAATACATAGTAGGGCTAATATGTTATTTTCCCTTTGTTTTTTAAGAAAAACCACTTCTGACCATTTTTGGTTGCGCCGCACACACACGCATCACTTGGTCTTTCATAGTTGTTTGCTTTTTAAAAGATTAATGATTTAAAAATTGTTGCACATGTGATGCGCGCAACACAACTTTCGTCTTCAAACCACTTCCAACCTTACTTTAAGTTATATTATTCAACATAGATTTGTTTTAATTTTTTCAACAATATGTTTAGTATTTTAATAATATTATGAAGGATACTATAAACAATTCGAGTATATTTTACATAATTTCAAAATCATTTGGTAAATTTCATATAAATATTTTTTGTGTTAAATCGTTTATAACCAAATATTAATAAATTATATAGTTAATTACTAAAATTACCAAATTTATTGAAGCTACCCGAAAAAGTAACCATCGTCTTCGAAAATTTAACAAAATGAATATGTTGCTCGTTAAATTAACAATTTTATTTATTGGTATTTAGCAAATATTATGTTTAATTATTTTATATAAACGTTTTTAAAAATCATTTCATCACAATGATCTTTATACTTGATTTCATATGATTAAACTAAATAAAATTTTGATTTAGAATTAATTTTAACTATTGCATGGTTAATTTCAATTTATTGCAGCAGCCTGCAGATGTTAAAAACAAACATACTTTTATTACAGACTGCAGCCGTTTGATCAACCTCTTCTGCTTCAGATATTTTCGTTTCAAAAAAACAAACAACACGTTAGATTTGTCCAAATTAATATTTGTAACATGCTATTAACAAATATATAATGGTTTCAACAAATGTTTTTGATCATCAATATTTTAATTATAAGTTCTCAAGTGAAAAGCTGAAGTATAGTATTTTTATTTATTTATTTATATCTACTTTTAAATTTATTTGTTTATAATTTGTCCTATAAATTTACAATAACTTGGTGGACAAGGCGTGGACAAATGTTTGGGCTTATTTTGTAGGCGTGAATCGTGATGAGCCGGAGACCGTGGATCTAAATCCACCTCCTTTTCCCTTTCCTTTCTTTGAAAAAGAATAAAAAGAATCAAATTAGCAGACGCAATTGGACTGAAAAACCTAACTGTCATCGTGGAACTTTTCGACAGTTGATTTATGGTTCTTCTTCCCCCTTTCCTTTTTCCCATTTCCCATTTCTCATTTCCCATTCTTTTGGATCATTTTGTTCTTCCCCCAATTTTTGTGCTGAGATTCTAAAACCGTAATCAAACGAGATTTGATTTTTCAACAACCCTAACAGCGAGAAACTTGTTTGTAATTGGAAGAAAATGATCGTCTCTGGGTTCTGTTAGGGTTTTGTTTTCTATTTCTGTCGTGGGTTCTTGAAATTTTACATTTAGCAAAGATTTGATCGAGTTAATGGAGACCGCTCGTTCGGAAACAGGATCTTTCGCCCAAACCGAAATTAATTGGGACAAGTAAGCAATCTTTTATTCCCTTTTTGACTTATTATCTCCAATTTAATATTCATTCCTCATGCATTTCTTGAAGTTTGTCATCTCTTTTATGAGTGGTTTTGATGCTATTTTTATGAACATGTAGCAAATTTTGGGTAATATCTTGACATTGCCTATGAATCTTGTTTTCTCTCTGTAAATATAAGACTCCTTATGAATTTTGTGTTGAAAAAAATATCGACTTCTTATTTTAAAAAATTGATTTAAGGGGGTATTTGCATATATGAGTTTTACAAAGTTAAGATTATTAGGTGCATCAAAGTAATTAAAGAAGCGAATGTTTTTAAGAAAAAAAAAGCGATGACTACATTAATTGTGGTAGCTTTGATTAAGTGGTTTTAGTAACCTAAGGCTATAGCTATAAGTTAGGTGCTTTTTCTTTTTGACTTAATAGACTTGATAGAACAAGATTAAAATAGGGTAAGCTATATATTTGCTACATTCCCATTGTCATCATTATTTCACTTTGTGATTAATTGTTATTCTGTTGTGATTATTCTAAACTCTAATAATTTAATTTTTATACAGGCTTGATAAAACTAAGTTTTACGTGGTAGGAGCAGGAATATTTACAGGACTTACAGTTGCACTCTACCCAATATCTGTGGTAAAAACAAGAATGCAGGTAGCTACAAAAGAGTCTGTTGAAAAGAGTGCATATGATGTTATTCGAGGTTTACTGAAAACAGAAGGCATCCCAGGTTTATACAGAGGTTTTGGCACAGTTATCACAGGGGCAATTCCGGCAAGAATTATATTTCTGACAGCATTGGAGACCACAAAAGTTGCTGCTTTCAAAATGGTTGACCCGTTTAAGCTTTCGGATCCTACAAAAGCTGCTATTGCTAATGGACTTGCTGGAATGACAGCTTCCCTTTGCTCTCAGGGTGTCTTTGTTCCTATTGATGTGGTATGCTCTTTGCTTTCATCATATCTTTATTATACTAAATTAGTAATCAACTTTAACATCAAAATTCAATATTAATACCCTTAATCTTATAAAAATGGGGTGACTTTTTGGATTTGCAAGATAATTTGTTAGATTTGGCAATGTGTACTTTACTCTTTTTACCAATATAGACAATGTTACTTTGTTTTTTTTACAAATAAAAACATTCAGTTTTCTACAGATAGTATCAATATGTAACCAATAATAGCAACTTGCTTACGTGTCATGGTATTATTGGTTGCACTTGCACATTGATATTATTTGTAGAAAATGTAAGTAGGATGCTATTTTTGGTTTACATATTGATATTATTTTGTAGATATTGTGAGGGCGTTGCTATTATTGGTTAGATACTGGTATTATTTTGTAGAAAATGTAAGTAAGTTGCTATAATACGTTGTTACATCATATTGATTTTATTGGTAGAAAATGTAAGTTAGTTGATATAATTTGTTAAATATTAACATTATTTGTAAAAAATGTAAGTACGTTGCTACTATTGGTAATTATAGTAAGTTGCTATAATGAGTAATTACATATTGATATTAAACGTAGAAAATTGAAGTAAGTTGCTATAATAAGTGGTTACATATTGATATTATTGGAAGAAAGCGTAAGTAGGTTGCTATAATAAGGGTAAAAAGAGTAAATAGTAGGTAGGGTAGGGGCTAATGTTGTAAATATTGAAACTTGAACAGATAAGTCAAAGATTGATGGTTCAAGGGTATTCAGGGCATGCGAGCTACAATGGAGGGGCAGATGTTGCCCGTAAAATCTTAAAACAAGATGGAATCCGCGGGCTATACAGAGGATTCGGTCTGTCTGTCATGACTTATTCGCCTTCTAGTGCTGTTTGGTGGGCCAGCTATGGCTCTAGTCAACGTCTTATATGGAAGTAGGTCTTTATCATTATTATTATTATTATTTTTTTTTTTTAAACAAAAATATATTCTTATTGTTGTATAATTTGTTTTATGTAGTTTATTAGGTCATGGAAATGATAGCAATGGATCTCTTCCGACGCAAGGGACAATTGTTATGGTTCAAGGTGCGGGTGGAATATTTGCGGGGGCCGCAGCATCTTGTGTCACAACTCCACTTGATACTATAAAGACTCGACTACAGGTATAGCAAATTACAATTTTGGTCCTTATTTGAGGATCTTGTAACGTTTTTGGTCCGTGTTCTAGATGAAATGACTACCATTGGTTCCTTAGTATAGCTGATTTTTGTAATTTTGGTCCCAAAAGTTTATTTATTTTAAGTGACTCGTTTTACTTTACTTAGGACAGGGACCAAAAACGTTACAAAAACCGCAAATAAGGATCAAATTTGCAAGAGAAAACTTTTTGGGACCAAAATTGAAAAATCACCTAAACTCGGGGACAAATGTTAGAATGGTTTAATGGGTTAAGCCAAAAAACCTGACGAAGTGTATTAAGACATCAACCCTTTACCTATTCGCCCTTCTTTTTTCCACCGACGTGTTAAAATTGACGAGTGGTGTGAAAATTGTTTGTTGGAATGTAAGGGTAAAATGGTCATTTAATCTCATATTCAGACGGTTTATTCAGTCTAGAAAAACAACAAACCTTATGTATAATACAACACTTTTTCTATACATTACCCATTCATTCACTTTATCCATACACTTTGATGCTCCTTTAATTTAATTTATTAATTTATTTTTTTGTAAAAGGTAATGGGACAAGAAAAGCGACCCTCTGCACGCCAAGTCATCAAAACATTGATTGCGGATGACGGTTGGAAAGGTTTCTATAGAGGGATTGGTCCGAGGTTTTTTAGCATGTCCGCATGGGGAACTTCCATGATACTCGCATATGAATATTTGAGTATTATTTCTTCCCTTTTCTTTAACCCTAAATGCAACAAAATTAGCAAATCTAATTTTATATAAATAACCCTTTTTCTTGTTTTTTTTGTAGAGCGGATATGTGCTCAAGATTTGTAGTTAGTGTGCATCGACTACGCGTTTCAATCCATGGGGTTTGTTGGATATACTTTTGTGGTTCTTACTTGTTGAGGATGCATGCATGTATACATATACTCTATTATATAGTGTCCGAAATGGCACAAGGCTCTCTCTCTCTTTCTTTGGTTTACATGAAGAGTAAGAATTAGATCACTTCACATAAAAAAGCAAATGTATGGATTCATACATCATTCTTGATTCTTTTAACCATTTTTGACATACTAGAATTGATTCGATTCAAGGTTGTATTTTGTAATCTCTTTTTTTATCACATAAATGATAAGTAGATGTTTTTTTTTTCATGTTTTATATAGCTAAATGTATGGTGTTTTTGGAATGTTTAGTTGGTATTTTTAAAAGCTAGGCTAATAATGAGTGTGAAATTATGTTTTTAACCCTTGTTTCTAAACGCTCTTTCATTTTGGTCGTTTCTATTTTTCAAGTGTTACATATAACATTTGGTTAAAAGGTCAACCGTTTTTAATTCATGATTACCTGCTCAAAATTCCTGTTACACATATCCGTATCAACAAACCAAGCAAAATTTAAAAAAGTAAAAAATAGAGATTTGAAAGAAATTTGCAAACTGATTGGAAAAATCTTTAAAAGTTTACATGAAGCACCGATAGTGGGGAAGTTGTTACAAATTGTAAGTAAATAAAATTGTGTATTCAAGGTTTGTCATCTCTATAATTTAATTATTTAAAAAAGTAAAAACCTTTTAGTATAAAGCATATATCACACAAAAAAAAGATATAAAGTAGGATAATTAAAGTTAAATAATAAGAATAAGATATGTGAAACGAGGTGCTAGAAAAAAATAATTCAAAACAACTAATAAGGTGCTAGAAAAAAATTATTCCGAAAATTATTTTACAAGTATCTTGCTCTACAAAGATGATAAAGTCATGAAAAGAAGGTAAACTTTAGCAAACGATCACTACTAATAAATAAAATAATCTTGGGAACGATTTAACGCCATTAATCTATTTTGAATGCGGATACAAATATTTGACTATAATTTGCAATAATTTTGTTAAAAAAAATATCACAATTTTCGTGAAAAATAACCATTTCCATTAGGCTAGGTATTTTCTCATGTTACAATGAGACATGGTCGTGACTAACTAGACTATACAAAGTTGTATAAATAGGCTAAGTAATATACACTAATATGTCACTACAATTTGAGCGGGAGGTCTTGGATATGAAATTCATGAATAAAGACGTGGAAAGGTCATTTGTGAAGATGTGGACATTCTGATGGCTAGAAGATATGTGAAGGACACAAATTTGTCTGGTTGCAACCTTTACAAAAACGAAGTGGATGTTAATCTTAATATATTTGGTTCGTTGATGTAGAACCAGGTTGTTGGATGTATACATGGAGTTTGAAATATCGTAGTGAACAATGGTGGATTTGGCAAGAGAATTGCGTAGTTCACACATAAGATTGTGAAGCTAACAAGTTTCAACAACTACACTCATGACTATTCTATACTCAGCCAACCTCGACACCGGATATGGAGACAATAGGTTGATGCTTAGAGGACTAGGATATGATATTATCATCAATAACCACAGTAGCTGCTAGTAGAGAGACGTGATGAGGGATATCTCCTCAATCAAGTCCCACAAACATATCATAAGATGCATTTAAGTGTATATAGTTGAGGTTCTTGAGGATAATACACATAGAGGTATATTTGTTGAACAATAAAAAGAGAGACCCGATCGGGTAAAAGCCAAGTATTGCACGCTATCAACCATATTACGATACAAGGTTGGGTTTGCAACTAGCGTTCCTATTTCATGAAGCTTTGATTGCATGTCATCAGGAGTATGAAAAATGGTTGCAAATAGTCATATTTGACATTTTGAGTATCTCATGGGCGTACTTCTAAGAGAGGAACATTCCATGGGAGTTTATGTTGGATTTTAGTTCAAAATAGTTTCATAAACTAGAAAAATATGGCAACGGAAGACTTAAAATTTTGAACATAACATAACATTTTATACCCACCAAGGATCTTCTTGCAAGTTATAGAAAGATAAAACACCAACCGTAGAAAGGATGGAGAAATAACAACCTTTGTAGTTCTTTGGGTCCTCTTGGGAGGCTTGGAAGTTGATGAAGAATGTGGAACCTTTGAGACACTAACAATGACTCAACTTGATGTAGATACTAGTCCATAAACTCTTAATCCCTTAAGCTTTAAGTTCATAACCGATATGAACTTAAACAGGGCATGAAGATGCAAGTAACTTCAAGAAAAGATGAAGAAAAGAGAGAGAGAGAGTAACCTCCTCTAAGGAGGTTACGGTGTTGGTAGTGTGAATGAGCAAGCCAAATGAAAGCATCAAGTCTTGTATTTATAGTAGAAACAATTCCCTACTTTATGAATAAAATAATCACAAGACCATGCCTTTATTTAAATAATCAAAGAACCATTCTCTCATTTAAATAATCAAAAGACCATACTCTTATTTAAATATTCAAAGAGCCATTCTCTCATTTAAATAATCAAAAGCCCATAACTCTTTTCTTCTTCTCTAATTTTCGAAAATTATATACAAATGAGAAGAATTTGTTTAAATTTTATAAACTCAAGTTTTATAAAATGTAAACTTTGTCTTTTGAGTAAAAGACAAAAGGGTTTCAACTAGTCCATAAAGTTGTACATAACTTATTAATTCATACCATATGAATTATGTAATATTACTTGCTAATGAAAATTATTAATTCCATGAAATAAATAATTTCCAATTTAATTATAAGAGTTTTATTGAATATTTATTAAAATCAATTTCTAATAAATAATCAGTTATATCAACTTGTTGTTAGTGTGACCCATTAGTATCATATGTTAATTAGCAATATCACTTTAATATGATTATTGAGCATACAAGACCTTTCAGTTTTTGGTGATAGAGCTACCCAAAAAGTATGATGATTCTCAAGGATCTGTCATGACAGATTCTCTGCCCAAGAAATAAAAAATGTAATGAAGCAACTCTCTAAGGAAGTTGTTAAATTAATGTCGTCAACATAATGCAAGTAATCCATATCAGATCCCTTCTAGAAATAAACAAAAACTAATCAGATTGCTATGAATAAATCAATTGGTACTGATAAAAGAGGCAAACCAATGGAACCATACTCTTTGGGATTGCGTGAGCCATAGAGAGACTTCTGAAGAGGGAAAACATAGTATGGGTGTTGCGGGTCATGGAAACCCGGAGGTTGATGCATATAAACAGTTCCATTTAGTTAACCGTGTAAAAACGTGTCTTTTTACATCAAGTTGATGAAATGGACAATGATGTGAGATGGAAAGACTCAATATGGTATGGATGGTCACCAGTTTGACAACCGATGAAGGTCTCATTACAATCAATCTTGGAAGAAGCGGTCAAGATAATGTCGTCCATATAAAGGAGAAGGTATGTTTTTTATGGATTAAATTGATAACATGTTCTTATAATAAAGTACATTGCTATAATGGATAAAAATTATAATATGTTGTTATTATGGATTAAATTAATTGATATAATGGTTATAAAACTCAAAGTATGTTTTTATTATAAGTACGTTGCTATATTGGCTAAAAAGTATAATATGTTGTTAGGAAATAAAGCGGATAACTCACAAAACCACACACACATACGAAGACAAAGTATTTATGTGGTTCGATCAAGATGACCTACGTCCACGAACAGGAGGGATTATTCTTATTCAAGAGTTCTCAACACATAGTTTACAAGTACAATTCAGTAGAGATTCGACCTACTCACTAAGGAATCAAGATACAAATAAATGACTAGCAAACATTCCTATTTATAGACAAGGTATCAGAACTAAAACCCTAATAGGCCAAGCCCATCAATTCATATGTCCATAAAGGTGTCAACAAATCACAAATCACAATGTACCTGCTTCTAAAATCTTCAACCTTTGAATTTTGGAGAGCGCCTTTGCACCAAAGAGAGCACATTTAGACCTAAGCTACACTTTCAGGGACACCCCAACACTTTCAGGGACATCCCAATGCTTTCAGTGAAATTGTAGCTCTTTTAAGAACATCAACACTTTCAGGAACATCAACTCGTTCAAATAATTTGTCAGAAAGGCTCCGCCAGAAAGCTTTGTCGGACACTCTGTGAGAAAGCTCCGTTAGAAAGTTGTATCGGAAACCTTTGCCATACTGCTCTGTCAGAATTCTTTGCCACAATGCTCTTTCAAAATGTTCTGCCACAATTCTCAATCACAATACTCTGTCATGATGCTCTGCCATAATGATTCATCACAATGCTCTATCAGAATACTCCGCCATAATTGCTAAATGCTCAAGTCACATTTAAAAATCTCCACCTTGAATTTAGAATACTTTGAATAACTCTATAAACCAATTTTTTCCCATCCTCCCATCTTGCCCCGTAGGGACTTAACTCCTGCGAACATCTACTAAGTCCAAGCAAATCTTGAACTTCTCTATATGCAACGACCTTGTCAACATTTTTATTGGATTCTCCTTGATATCAATATTTTAAATGCAAAATCTGTATCATAACATGATAGGTTTCTCCACCTTCAAAACAAGACAATACACCATTGATCATCTTTTCAGCAGATCACCTCCATGGTTCGAGTCTACATATCCAACCAAGTCAGTATGTCGTATGTTAGCACCACACACCAGACAAACATCAAATGTATCCTTTAAGTGTCTTATGATCCACTTGAATGCTTCCCAATGAAACTTTCCCTTATTACTTTGAACTGCCAAAGGACTACCATCAGGCTTGGACTGATCAAAATAGAATGACTGCATGACTTTCTTGAAACATCCAAAAAATAAGACCCGATTTTTTTCATTTTTAGATCAATAAAATACTAAACCATGTCATTTTCATAAGACCAAGATAAACAAATTGTATCAATACATCAACAATCATCAGAGTAAATCACAAAATGCAGAATCGAGTGGTGTGTGCTCTGCAATCATCCTGAGCTCTTCCCTTTGGAACCAGAAGTACCTGAAACGTAAATTGAAAACCGTAAGCACAAAGCCTAGTGAGTTCCCCAAAATACCACATACCATACATACATAAATAAACACATAATGGGCCCCGCCCGACATCGACCTATGCTTGGTATACAAATCTGTCAGTCATCGAGCCCCGACTGGTATACATATGAGTATATAACACATGCAAGAGTTATGCATACATCTAGCATCCTAACATAAC